CGTGAAAAGGATAAGATGGCTACTTTAGTACCCAGGGTACCAAAAAAGTGTCCCAGAACTCCCCTTTTTGTCCTACTAAGCCTTGTACAGATTACAATAGTACTATTAGATTTCTTTTTTTCTTTTGTCAATTTTTTTTTTAAAATCTGTGCTTTATTTTTTCTTTAGTTTGTCTATTTTCTTTTTTGGTAATTTTCATTAAATTTTTTTTTTTTCCTTTTTTTGTCTCATGCTTCTTGAGAAGAAAGAAAAATTAGAAGGAAATTAGTTCTAATATTTTAGTTCTTTCAGAGCTAATATTGGATACAAAAGGGTGAAATCCTCTTTTGGACAAAGTTTATAAAAATAACTTTTTTATAGCTTATTCATAAGCTTTTGTAATAGGTTGCATCTAGGTACTAAAATAAACAACTAGATAAAGTCAAGCTTTAGATTAGTCTTAAAAAGTAAATGTATATAAATTGTATATACTAATAACTAATGAGGTCAAGCCACGGCAAGACTTATTAAAGAAATAAAAAAAAAAAATTATAATTACTATAAATATATAATATTTATTATATTTATTAATCAATATGACAAAACAAAAAAAAACTAATTTTTAAAAAATATATCTAATTGTAAAAGTCACTAGTATCAAATAATTCATTATGCTCTTGCTCTGAAAGAGCTAATAAATTACTTTGAGCAAAAGACCAGGATCAGAAGAAGCTTTTCTTGATTGTTCATCATTATTGTCATAATGTGAGTCAAGCCTTTTATTTATTATTGCTTCAGCTAATTCATAATTTGGACTTACATTATTATTATAATTATTCTAGCAAATAAAAAAATTAAACATTAATAACAAACTTTAAAATATATTGTTATAAACTGTTATATATCAATATATATTAAATATTGATCCATGTGGTGCTTCATACACTTTTTCTTGTACAACAGGCTTCAAGATCTAGGGTTTAAAATAATATTGCAAACCAACAATATAAAAGCACAATAGTGGTTTGTCAAGTTGAAAACAGTGACAGTACTGAAAGCAGACCTTCTAATAATAGAAACCCAAAAAAGATCCTCAGTATTTAGCTTAAAAAGAGATTTATAATATTCTTTGATTTGGGGGCCTTTCTTCTACTTGACAATTTTAGTTATAGCAACATTACTTTTAGAAAAGATAGCTTTCATGACCAAATACCTTTTAAATAGCATTACTGACCTTTTGAAATGCTGCCTTATAGTGATTTTTTACCTTTTGTAAAAGCTGTAAAAAAATTGAAAATATTAGTAATAATGATTTAAACTAATAAAAAACATTTACCCAAATTTTTAAAAAGTTATTACATACTTGACTACACCATATCCTGTAAAACTTTTTATAAATTCATTTTACTTATATTCTGTATGAACTTCAGAAATTTCTTAATAAAGTAGTTCTTGAGAGCACCTTTTAATATGCTTTGGGCTAGATATAAATAGTATAAGAAAAGATATTTTACAATACTAGTATATTCTTTTTGCAAAAAATTCAAATTCTCAAAGGCTCATGTAAATATTTGTAAACACTATACTATATTAATAGTATTACACTTACATTCAACACCTTTGCTAAAGTCCTATTTCTAAGTTACTCATTGCTACCTAATTTCATCCTTTATTTCCCAAACATCACTTCTCAATTCCTTGACAAGATAATATAGCTCTTGGCTTTGACAAAAAATTAATTAATCTACTTTGTGATAGTAATCTAAATATTTATTTTTATTTTATTTTTTTTTAAAAAAAAAAAAAATTAATTAGAAAAAAAAATATCAAATATTTAAAGATCAAAAATATATATATATATTTATATACATTAATACATTATAATTTTTTTTATTAGAAGATTATTAATCTTATAATCTTGATCATGATCTTTCTATTCTTTTACCTAGTAGCAATAAAGATCTATTATATTTGTTTAAACCTGATGTATATAAAGAAGAAGATGTTTGTAGAGATTGGATAAGTTGTTGCAATTGGGTAAATTATCATGATTGTGTTTGTTTTTTACTACTTTTACTATTATTCTTGCAAATAAAACTTTACAATTTGACAAACTATATAATTAAGGTCCTGTTGTATAAGATATAACTCTATCTATATAATAGAGATAATATTAGATAATTTTTTATAAATACTTCTAACACTTTTTATTGATAAATTTGTTAAATCATCATTACAAGCATTATAAAATGGGTGGTGCAGATCAGTAATACAGTATGTTGAGATTAATGAACAATTAATTGGCATTGAGATGTATAAATAGATATAGCAGTATTGGGTAAGTTATTATTTGAATTTAAAGCATTATTATTTAAAGTATTATTATTTAAAGTATTATTATTTGAAGCATTATTATTTAAAGTATTATTATTTTAAGTATTGTTATTATTACAAGCAAAAAGGTTGTTATTAGTAGATAATTTATTATTTAAAGTGTTATTATTAGAAATAATTTAAATACACACAGAAGTATTATTAAGGGAAGAGTTGTTAGAATTGTTATTATGATTGTTGTTATTTATTTCAAAATTCTAAAAATTTTTTTTACCGTTTTTAATTAAAAGAATTGGTTATATTTATATATCTATGAAATAATATAATATCACTCATTATATTAAAAAAAAGCTTATTTGTATTTTTGTCTATATATGTGTAAAAAAATATATATCTAAAAAATAATATAATATCAATTGTTATATTAAAAAAAAAAAGCAAAAGTATACTTATTTGTATTTTTGTCTATATACATGTGAAGACAATTTATTGAGCCTAAAAAATTAAATAAAAAATTAATTTATAATATTAATTATTATATACAAAAAAAATAAAAGTATTCTTATCTCATTGTTGTTTTTTGATACCACTATCATTACACATATAATAATTTGCTGAGATTCTCTTACTATTGATAATTTCTGAGAAAGATATTTTAAAATAATAATAGATATAATATAATGATAGTTTTATTATAATATATATTATATAAACACTTTGTTTTGATAAAGAAAATAATTATTTAAAATTGATATAAATCAATTATAAATTGTAACCTTTTTTTAATTATTGTCTTTCTGCTATATTCTTTATCTTCTTTCATGCCTATTTCTTATTCTAATTCTTTACAATTTATATATTGCTTTAACCACTTTTTCTTTTCTTTTGTTAGCTTCCTTTTCTTTTTTTATTTCTTCTCTCCTTTTCTTTTTCTTTTATTTTTTCTTTATTGTTTTAAATCCAAGAAACAAAATCTTGTCTAGGTTTTAGTATACTAGCTTTCCTTTTATTTCTTTACTAGTTTCACTATATATTGCTATTTCATTATCATTTTTTCATTTATTTGATTTTTTTTACTTATTTTATCCACTTTTATTCTCTATTGTTTTTTTATTTTCTTGTTTACTCTTCTTATATCTATTTTCTTTTTTTCTAAAAAATATATTGGCCATATGAGCATTGTAGTTGAGACTTTTCAAAATCTTTTGTTCTAACACAACATATTTTACAAAAACATCCTTATATCAAAGACTCAAACTCAATAAATCAAGTCTTTCTCACTGAACTATTAGATAATAATATTTGAAATCTTCTAGAATACAATTATTTTTTATTGAAGCATAATTTGAATGAATTTATAATATATAGAGTAATTTGTTTAAAAATTATTATTAAGTTATAAATCATTAGTAAATGATTATCTTCATATAGAGTGAATTATATTAACATTATCTCTATTCAGATCAGGCTCCTTTATAAACACAGAAGATAACTTTAATAATATATATTGATGCATTAGTTGTTTTTAATAACTCAGATAATTCTTAAAAAGATAGTATTATTAAACTGCCTATTTTTTTGCGTTAAACATATTTAAATTCTGGCCAAAATTAAAATTTAATTTAATTTTGACCAGAATTTAGATGTTGATTTGACCAAAAAAAGATCAGTTTAATAATATCATTTTTTTAAGAATTATCTAAGTATATTATTAATAGTTATTAAGTTATAAAATATTAATTAACAATATATATTGTTTAGAATAAAGATATATTAGAATCAACTTATTCTTATACAGAAATGCAGTCTCTTTTAGCAAAACATCTCTTATAGAAGATGAAGTAGTTTATGATGAGATTGATTTCAAAGATTATAAAAAAGCTTTGTTTAATAATACTTTTAATAATTTGTATCATTTGCAAACTATCAAATAGCCTAATAATACTTATGAGAATTTATAAAAATAATTAATAAATATTATCTGTCAAAGTTTGCAAGTGATGCAATTATTAATTTCTTCAACAAATTATCCAATTTAGAAACTTTGCAATTGCCATCATCATCAAAAATTGGGAAGAAATTTCTGAATAATTCTATAGTATCTTATATAATGTTTAAAGAAATTCCTATAATAATGTTTCAAGGTATCAACTATAGATTTTACTATTGATCATTAATAAAAACTTTAAAGTCTTTATTAATAATTGATAGTATAAATCAATTATTAGTATTTAGTTATAAAGAAAAATAGGTAATAAAAAATAGTATTAAAGATCATGTCATTGAAAAACAGTTTAATTGCAACTGGTAGAAGTAAGAAGAATTAGAGTTACTTCTTGGTTAATATTTATTATTGATTATAATCTATTTAGATACAACAACCTTGAACCGGTTGTATATCAGAATCTCGATACACAAAATCCCGACACACAAAATCCCGGCAACAAAATCCCAATACACAAAATCCTGACAAATGAAATTCCTAATTTTAATATTTTTAGGATTTTAATTTGTCGGGATTTTGTGTATTGGGATTTTGTTGTCGGGATTTTGTGTGTCGGGATTTTGTGTGTCGGGATTCTGATATACAACCCCTTGAACCATTTAGAAAAATCTTCTGGAGTACCCAATTAATATCTTGGATTCTGGTTTATTTCTTTCGAATTAGAGATATTGCTTATTGATAGGAAAATAGAATGCTTTCAATTTTAAAAGCAAAAGATACTAAAATAAAAAACTCTAAAGGTTTTCAAGCTTTGCAAAGAGAAATCTTTCATAAATATATAACAATTCTCCTTAAGCCCATAATAGAAAAACCAGAGCTTTACTTTGTTATTTGTAGTAGAATAATTACTTTTGTTTTATAAATTTCAATGATTATGGCTAATTTACTTGAAGCTAATAAGATAGCAAATACTTATCAATTATCTTCTTCAAGACAACTATGCTATTCTTGCTTAGTATTAAAGGATAATTTAAATAATATAAATCTAACTAATGTCTTATCCAGAATATCTATCAATATGAAAAAAGCAATATATAGAGATAATAATCATAAGTATTTAATTCACCTTGAAGTGAATATCTTATGGAATTTAAAGTATAAATTTTAACTTATTAATATAATCTTTTTTTTAGTATAGTTAATTTTTTTATTAATTATATTTTTTTTTAAGCATACCATATTTTTATATAATAATGCTCTGTATATTATTATGCAAAAATACAGGTAATGTTTTTTTTTAGTATCTTAATTTTTTTAAAAAATATTATTATAACTATTTTTAAGTAATATAAATCTTATAAATAAATATAAATGAAAAACTTCAATATATACCAAGCTATTATTTCTGATTAAATGTATACTTTAAACTTTAGCCTTTTTGAGTAAATATTAGATTATACCTAAGAGCTTTAAGTGATTAATATGGAAGCCAGGTATTTCAAAACTTTGAACAATAATTGATGTTGATTCCTAGATTTTAGAGCCTTAAAATAATAAAA